GAGACCAGAGAGAGACCAGAGAGAGACCAGAGAGAGACCAGGGAGAGACCAGAGAGAGAGACCAGAGAGATCAGAGAGAGACCAGAGAGAGACCAGCGAGAGACCAGCGTGAGACCACAGAGAGACCACAGAGAGACCAGAGAGAGAGACCAGAGGGAGAGACCAGAGGGAGAGACCAGAGAGAGACCAGAGAGAGACTAGAGAGAGACCACTGTCTCCTACTGTCTCCTACTGTCTCCTACTGTCTCCTACTGTCTCCTACTGTCTCCCACTGTCTCCTACTGTCTCCCACTGTCTCCTACTGTCTCCCACTGTCTCCTACTGTCTCCCACTGTCTCCTACTGTCTCCCACTGTCTCCTACTGTCTCCTACTGTCTCCCACTGTCTCCTACTGTCTAGTATCTACCATACCCACACAGACGACTGCACTAAACACCTCTTTCACCTTTGCTTCAAACCAGGACGTTGCTGATTCGTCTCACACACGTAAGCGCAAAAAAAGTTTAACAACTTAGAGAAAGAAAAAGTAAAAATCTCCTGAGTGTTCAGTGGAAACAGCTCATTGCCGTATCTGCTCTTTTGAAATGGGAAAGGTGGAGATGGCGGCGATAGGGCCAAAGCCACAGCCATGTGCTCTGCCAAGAAATAGGCACAGAATAAGCACATGGAAAAGCTCGATAAATAAATGTACGGCGCCGCTGCCTTCACTTTGGGGAAGTCTGAAGGGAAAAAGGCCAGGCAAGATTATTTATATAACACAAATTATACACAAGGAAACTCAAAGGGCAGAACAGGAGACAGTCACACAAGGCTCTGAATCATAAACAATCACAGAATATGAAAAAGAGTGAATATTAAATCCTTCAGTTGTTGCAGAAACAGGACGGATTTTAACCTGGTTTGAACATAGGGCCGTACTTAGGACCTACACCAACATGAACACACCAACATGAACACACCAACATGAACACACAAACATGAACACACCAACATGAACACACCAACATGAACACACAAACATGAACACACCAACATGAACACACAAACATGAACACACCAACATGAACACACCAACATGAACACACCAACATGAACACACCAACATGAACACACAAACATGAACACACCAACATGAACACACCAACATGAATACACCAACATGAACACACCAACATGAACACACCAACATGAACACACAAACATGAACACACAAACATGAACACACCAACATGAACACACCAACATGAACACACCAACATGAACACACCAACATGAACACACCAACATGAACACACCAACATGAACACACCAACATGAAAACACAAACATGAACACACCAACATGAACACACAAACATGAACACACCAACATGAACACACCAACATGAACACACAAACATGAACACACAAACATGAACACACAAACATGAACACACTAACATGAACACACAAACATGAACACACCAACATGAACACACAAACATGAACACACCAACATAAACACACAAACATGAACACACAAACATGAACACACAAACATGAACACACAAACATGAACACACAAACATGAACACACAAACATGAACACACCAACATGAACACACCAACATGAACACACCAACATGAAAACACAAACATGAACACACAAACATGAACACACCAACATGAAAACACAAACATGAACACACCAACATGAACACACCAACATGAAAACACAAACATGAACACACCAACATGAACACACAAACATGAACACACCAACATGGACACACCAACATGAACACACAAACATGAACACACAAACATGAACACACAAACATGAACACACTAACATGAACACACAAACATGAACACACCAACATGAACACACAAACATGAACACACAAACATGAACACACAAACATGAACACACAAACATGAACACACAAACATGAACACACAAACATGAACACACAAACATGAACACACAAACATGAACACACTAACATGAACACACAAACATGAACACACCAACATGAACACACAAACATGAACACACCAACATAAACACACAAACATGAACACACAAACATGAACACACAAACATGAACACACAAACATGAACACACCAACATGAACACACAAACATGAACACACCAACATGAACACACAAACATGAACACACAAACATGAACACACCAACATAAACACACAAACATGAACACACAAACATGAACACACAAACATGAACACACAAGCATGAACACACCAACATCAACACACCAACATGAACACACAAACATGAACACACCAACATGAACACACCAACATGAACACACAAACATGAACACACAAACATGAACACACACCAACATGAACACACCAACATGAAACACACCAACATGAACACACCAACATGAACACACCAACATGAACACACCAACATGAACACACCAACATGAACACACCAACATGAACACACCAACATGAAAACACAAACATGAACACACCAACATGAACACACAAACATGAACACACCAACATGAACACACCAACATGAACACACAAACATGAACACACAAACATGAACACACCAACATGAACACACAAACATGAACACACAAACATGAACACACCAACATGAACACACAAACATGAACACACCAACATGAACACACAAACATGAACACACCAACATGAACACACCAACATGAACACACAAACATGAACACACAAACATGAACACACCAACATGAACACACCAACATGAACACACCAACATGAACACACCAACATGAACACACCAACATGAACACACCAACATGAACACACCAACATGAACACACCAACATGAACACACCAACATGAACACACCAACATGAAAACACAAACATGAACACACCAACATGAACACACAAACATGAACACACCAACATGAACACACCAACATGAACACACAAACATGAACACACAAACATGAACACACCAACATGAACACACAAACATGAACACACAAACATGAACACACCAACATGAACACACAAACATGAACACACAAACATGAACACACCAACATGAACACACAAACATGAACACACCAACATGAACACACCAACATGAACACACCAACATGAACACACCAACATGAACACACAAACATGAACACACCAACATGAACACACAAACATGAACACACCAACATGAACACACCAACATGAACACACCAACATGAACACACCAACATGAACACACCAACATGAACACACCAACATGAACACACAAACATGAACACACCAACATGAACACACAAACATGAACACACAAAAATGAACACACAAACATGAACACACAAACATGAACACACCAACATGAACACACCAACATGAACACACAAACATGAACACACCAACATAAACACACCAACATGAACACACAAACATGAACACACCAACATGAACACACCAACATGAACACACCAACATGAACACACCAACATGAACACACCAACATGCACACACAAACATGAACACATAAACATGAACACACCAACATGAACACACCAATATGAACACACAACCAGAGTCACACTGTACTCTACTCTAGGATCAGGGTAATAGTAAAACAGTGTAACTCAGTGTGTGGCGGAGTTTGAATGAATTTGGACACACAATCTGCCATTTTAACAATATCGCACTTTGTCGACTTTAGTGAAACTGTGGCGCCTCGAGGGTTAACAAGTATACACTATAGGAGGATTTGTTTTCTTCTGGGTGGATCATCTAAACTAGTGGTCCTTTTTATTGTCAGTCATCGGTTATGTACAATAAACGTTTTAAAAGACCTTTTTAAATGCCTCTGACTGGGTTCATTCTTTCTATAATTCTGGAAAATCCTCCTAGATTCTTGGGACTCATTTGACAGGGCAGTAGCAAATCACAAACGTAGGACAGGACGTGACGTATCCTGGCGGCGCAGTCTGCCGGGTTTGTACACGGAGATATAGTAGAAGAAGAAGTGGTTTATACACGGAGATATAGTAGAACAAGAAGTGGTTTATACACGGAGATATAGTAGAACAAGAAGTGGTTTATACACGGAGATATAGTAGAAGAAGAAGAGGTTTATACACGGAGATATAGTAGAAGAAGAAGTGGTTTATACACAGAGATATAGTAGAAGAAGAAGCATCTTTTTTTGCGGTGTACGCTTGTAGAAACCGCACAAATAGAGAAAGACCAGAGTTTGTTCATGTTCCAACTGTGGTCTCATATAAAGGAGGACACTTTGAAAAAATCACTGGAATGAGGCGGGCGAGGTGGATCAAGGCTTTCCCAGATAAGCGCCCCCTGCAGGCCACCCCAATGAAACGCAGCAATTTCTTCTGTTTTTCGTCTTTTGAGAAATAGTTGTTAGTACTCCCTTAGAATTGAGTGTCTCTGATTAAGACTGTTCCAACAACCGTACAGCGCACAGGAGGAGAGCCTTTGACTCCAAAACAGACTTTACATGGTTTTCAATGGGAGCAACACTGTCCCACCTCTGCTCATGCGCCCCCTACAGGCCAGTTTAATGAAACACAAAAATACCTTTAAGTTTATTGAGAGAATCTACCTTAAAACCCAACAGAAACCTTATGTTATATTTCCAAATAATATTATCCACTTATATTTAATTTTCAGTGTTGAATTGAAACTTCCCTAAAGTGGGAAACATAAAGAATCTCTATCGTATCTGATCTTACAAATAGCCCAATTTAAAAAAAAGGCTGTTTCTGATTTTCCACTTCTGTTTTGGCTAAGACTGAGATCAGGACTTTAACGTACGTTCTTCTCCCGACAGAGGAGCCTTTTTTCTTTCTTCTTGAGCTTTTTTGGAGAGCAGTGTTTCAGTCTCAAATTCCAAATGGCAACAGTGTAAAGTGTCATTCTGAAAACTGGATAATGACGTCTCTGGTGGAGGATTCTCTCACAACTTTCTGCATTTATTCCACGAAATTCCCAAACTTTGTCATATCCCGGAAAAATGTTGTCTCCTACTGTCTCCCACTGTCTCCCTCTGTCTCCTACTGTCTCCCACTGTCTCCCTCTGTCTCCTACTGTCTCCCTCTGTCTCCCACTGTCTCCCTCTGTCTCCTACTGTCTCCCACTGTCTCCCTCTGTCTCCTACTGTCTCCCACTGTCTCCCACTGTCTCTTACTGTCTCCTACTGTCTCCCACTGTCTCCCTCTGTCTCCCACTGTCTCCCACTGTCTCTTACTGTCTCCTACTGTCTCCCACTATCTCCCACTGTCTCCTACTGTCTCCCACTGTCTCCCACGGTCTTCTACTGTCTCCTACTGTCTCCCACTGCCTCCTACTGTCTCCCACTGTCTCCTACTGTCTCCCTCTGTCTCCCACTGTCTCCCACTGTCTCCCTCTGTCTCCTGCTGTCTCCCACTATCTCCTACTGTCTCCTACTGTCTCCCACTGTCTCCTACTGTCTCCCACTGTCTCCCTCTGTCTCCTACTGTCTCCTACTGTCTCCCACTGTCTCCCTCTGTCTCCTACTGTCTCCCTCTGTCTCCCACTGTCTCCCTCTGTCTCCTACTGTCTCCCACTGTCTCCCTCTGTCTCCTACTGTCTCCCACTGTCTCCCACTGTCTCTTACTGTCTCCTACTGTCTCCCACTGTCTCCCTCTGTCTCCCACTGTCTCCCACTGTCTCTTACTGTCTCCTACTGTCTCCCACTATCTCCCACTGTCTCCTACTGTCTCCCACTGTCTCCCACGGTCTTCTACTGTCTCCTACTGTCTCCCACTGCCTCCTACTGTCTCCTACTGTCTCCAACTGTCTCCCTCTGTCTCCTACTGTCTCCCACTGTCTCCCTCTGTCTCCTGCTGTCTCCCACTATCTCCTACTGTCTCCTACTGTCTCCCACTGTCTCCTACTGTCTCCCACTGTCTCCCTCTGTCTCCTACTGTCTCCTACTGTCTCCTACTGTCTCCAGCTGTCTCCTACTGTCTCCCACTGTCTCCTACTGTCTCCTACTGTCTCCTACTGTCTCCCACTGTCTCCCCCATGTCCCCTACTATCTTCTACTGTCTCCCACTGTCTCCCACTGCCTCCTACTGTCTCCTACTGTCTCCCACTGTCTCCCACTGTCTCCTACTGTCTCCCACTTTCTCCTACTGTCTCCAGCTGTCTCCTACTGTCTCCCACTGTCTCCTACTGTCTCCTACTGTCTCCTACTGTCTCCCTCTGTCTCCTACTGTCTCCCTCTGTCTCCTGCTGTCTCCTACTGTCTCCCTCTGTCTTCTACTGTCTCCCACTGTCTCCCCCTGTCCCCTACTGTCTCCTACTGTCTCCCACTGTCTCCTACTGTCTCCAGCTGTCTCCCACTGTCTCCTACTGTCTCCCTCTGTCTCCTACTGTCTCCCTCTGTCTCCTACTGTCTCCCTCTGTCTCCTACTGTCTCCTACTGTCTCCCACTGTCTCCAGCTGTCTCCTACTGTCTCCCACTGTCTCCTACTGTCTCCCTCTGTCTCCTACTGTCTCCCTCTGTCTCCTACTGTCTCCCTCTGTCTCCTACTGTCTCCTACTGTCTCCCACTGTCTCCTACTGTCTCCAGCTGTCTCCTACTGTCTCCCTCTGTCTTCTACTGTCTCCCACTGTCTCCCCCTGTCCCCTACTGTCTCCTACTGTCTCCCACTGTCTCCTACTGTCTCCAGCTGTCTCCCACTGTCTCCTACTGTCTCCCTCTGTCTCCTACTGTCTCCCTCTGTCTCCCACTGTCTCCCTCTGTCTCCTACTGTCTCCCACTGTCTCCCTCTGTCTCCTACTGTCTCCCACTGTCTCCCACTGTCTCTTACTGTCTCCCTCTGTCTCCCACTGTCTCCCTCTGTCTCCCACTGTCTCTTACTGTCTCCTACTGTCTCCCACTGTCTCCCACTGTCTCCTACTGTCTCCCACTGTCTCCCACGGTCTTCTACTGTCTCCTACTGTCTCCCACTGCCTCCTACTGTCTCCCACTGTCTCCTACTGTCTCCCTCTGTCTCCCACTGTCTCCCTCTGTCTCCTACTGTCTCCAACTGTCTCCCTCTGTCTCCCTCTGTCTCCTGCTGTCTCCCACTATCTCCTACTGTCTCCTACTGTCTCCCACTGTCTCCTACTGTCTCCCACTGTCTCCCTCTGTCTCCTACTGTCTCCTACTGTCTCCTACTGTCTCCAGCTGTCTCCTACTGTCTCCCACTGTCTCCTACTGTCTCCTACTGTCTCCTACTGTCTCCTACTGTCTCCCACTGTCTCCCCCATGTCCCCTACTATCTTCTACTGTCTCCCACTGTCTCCCACTGCCTCCTACTGTCTCCTACTGTCTCCCACTGTCTCCCACTGTCTCCTACTGTCTCCCACTTTCTCCTACTGTCTCCAGCTGTCTCCTACTGTCTCCCACTGTCTCCTACTGTCTCCTACTGTCTCCTACTGTCTCCCTCTGTCTCCTACTGTCTCCCTCTGTCTCCTACTGTCTCCTACTGTCTCCCTCTGTCTTCTACTGTCTCCCACTGTCTCCCCCTGTCCCCTACTGTCTCCTACTGTCTCCCACTGTCTCCCACTGTCTCCCCCTGTCCCCTACTGTCTCCTACTGTCTCCCACTGTCTCCCACTGCCTCCTACTGTCTCCTACTGTCTCCCACTGTCTCCCACTGTCTCCTACTGTCTCCCACTTTCTCCTACTGTCTCCAGCTGTCTCCTACTGTCTCCCACTGTCTCCAGCTGTCTCCCACTGTCTCCTACTGTCTCCCTCTGTCTCCTACTGTCTCCCTCTGTCTCCTACTGTCTCCCTCTGTCTCCTACTGTCTCCTACTGTCTCCCACTGTCTCCTACTGTCTCCAGCTGTCTCCTACTGTCTCCCACTGTCTCCTACTGTCTCCTACTGTCTCCCTCTGTCTCCTACTGTCTCCCTCTGTCTCCTACTGTCTCCCACTGTCTCATACTGTCTCCCTCTGTCTCATACTGTCTCCCACTGTCTCCCACTGTCTCCTACTGTCTCCAGCTGTCTCCCACTGTCTCCTACTGTCTCCCTCTGTCTCCTACTGTCTCCTACTGTCTCCCACTGTCTCCTACTGTCTCCAGCTGTCTCCTACTGTCTCCCACTGTCTCCTACTGTCTCCTACTGTCTCCCTCTGTCTCCTACTGTCTCCCTCTGTCTCATACTGTCTCCCTCTGTCTCATACTGTCTCCCTCTGTCTCATACTGTCTCCCTCTGTCTCCCACTGTCTCCCACTGTCTCCTACTGTCTCCCACTGTCTCCCTCTGTCTCCTACTGTCTCCCACTATCCCCTACTGTCTCCTACTGTCTCCCAGTGTCTCCTACTGTCTCCCACTGTCTCCAGCTGTCTCCTACTGTCTCTCACTGTCTCCCACTGTCTCCTACTGTCTCCCACTGTCTCCCATTGTCTCCCTCTGTCTCCCACTGTCTCCCTCTGTCTCCCTCTGTCTCCTACTGTCTCCTACTGTCTCCCACTGTCTCCTACTGTCTCCCACTGTCTCCCACTTTCTCCCTCTGTCTCCCACTGTCTTCTACTGTCTCCTACTGTCTCCTACTGTCTCCCACTGTCTCCTACTGTCTCCTACTGTCTCCCACTGTCTCCTACTGTCTCCCACTGTCTCCCACTGTCTCCCACTTTCTCCCTCTGTCTCCCACTGTCTCCTACTGTCTCCTACTGTCTCCAACTATTCTCCCACTGTCTCCTACTGTCTCCCATTGTCTCCCATTGTCTCCCTCTGTCTCCCACTGTCTCCTACTGTCTCCAACTGTCTCCTACAGTCTCCCACTGTCTCCCACTATCTCCTACTGTCTCCTACTGTCTCCTACTGTCTCCCACTGTCTCCCTCTGTCTCCTACTGTATCCTACTGTCTCCCACTGTCTCCCACTGTCTCCTACTGTCTCCTACTGTCTCCCACTGCCTCCCTCTGTCTCCTACTGTCTCCCACTGTCTCCTACTGTCTCCTACTGTCTCCCACTGTCTCCCACTGTCTCCTACTGTCTCCCACTTTCTCCTACTGTCTCCTACTGTCTCCCTCTGTCTCCTACTGTCTCCCTCCGTCTCCTACTGTCTCCCTCCGTCTCCTACTGTCTCCCTCTGTCTCCTACTGTCTCCTACTGTCTTCCACTGTCTCCTACTCTCTCCAACTGTCTCCTACTGTCTCCCACTGTCTCCCACTGTCTCCTACTGTCTCCCACTGTCTCCCATTGTCTCCTACTGTCTCCCACTGTCTCCCACTGTCTCCCTCTGTCTCCCACTGCCTCCCACTGTCTCCTACTGTCTCCTACTGTCTCCCACTGTCTCCCACTGTCTCCCACTGTCTCCTACTGTCTCCCACTGTCTCCTACTGTCTCCTACTGTCTCCCTCTGTCTCCTGTCTCCCTCTGTCTCCTACTGTCTCCTACTGTCTCCTACTGTCTCCCACTGTCTCCTACTGTCTCCTACTGTCTCCTACTGTCTCCCACTGTCTCCTACTGTCCCCTACTGTCTCCCTCTGTCTCCTACTGTCTCCCTCTGTCTCCTACTGTCTCCCACTGTCTCCTACTGTCCCCTACTGTCTCCCTCTGTCTCCTACTGTCTCCCTCTGTCTCCTACTGTCTCCCTCTGTCTCCTACTGTCTCCCACTGTCTCCTACTGTCCCCTACTGTCTCCCACTGTCTCCTACTGTCTCCCACTCTCTCCTACTGTCTCCCACTGTCTCCTACTCTCTCCCACTGTCTCCTACTGTCTCCCACTGTCTCCTACTGTCTCCAGCTGTCTCCTACTGTCTCCTACTGTCTCCTACTTTCTCCTACTGTCTCCTACTGTCTCCCACTGTCTCCCACTGTCTCCTACTGTCTCCCACTGTCTCCAGCTGTCTCCTACTGTCTCTCACTGTCTCCCACTGTCTCCTACTGTCTCCCACTGTCTCCCATTGTCTCCCTCTGTCTCCCACTGTCTCCCTCTGTCTCCCTCTGTCTCCTACTGTCTCCTACTGTCTCCCACTGTCTCCTACTGTCTCCCACTGTCTCCCACTTTCTCCCTCTGTCTCCCACTGTCTTCTACTGTCTCCTACTGTCTCCTACTGTCTCCCACTGTCTCCTACTGTCTCCTACTGTCTCCCACTGTCTCCTACTGTCTCCCACTGTCTCCCACTGTCTCCCACTTTCTCCCTCTGTCTCCCACTGTCTCCTACTGTCTCCTACTGTCTCCAACTATCTCCCACTGTCTCCTACTGTCTCCCATTGTCTCCCATTGTCTCCCTCTGTCTCCCACTGTCTCCTACTGTCTCCAACTGTCTCCTACAGTCTCCCACTGTCTCCCACTATCTCCTACTGTCTCCTACTGTCTCCTACTGTCTCCCACTGTCTCCCTCTGTCTCCTACTGTATCCTACTGTCTCCCACTGTCTCCCACTGTCTCCTACTGTCTCCTACTGTCTCCCACTGCCTCCCTCTGTCTCCTACTGTCTCCCACTGTCTCCTACTGTCTCCTACTGTCTCCCACTGTCTCCCACTGTCTCCTACTGTCTCCCACTTTCTCCTACTGTCTCCTACTGTCTCCTACTGTCTCCCTCCGTCTCCTACTGTCTCCCTCCGTCTCCTACTGTCTCCCTCTGTCTCCTACTGTCTCCTACTGTCTTCCACTGTCTCCTACTCTCTCCAACTGTCTCCTACTGTCTCCCACTGTCTCCCACTGTCTCCTACTGTCTCCCACTGTCTCCCATTGTCTCCTACTGTCTCCCACTGTCTCCCACTGTCTCCCTCTGTCTCCCACTGCCTCCCACTGTCTCCTACTGTCTCCTACTGTCTCCCACTGTCTCCCACTGTCTCCCACTGTCTCCTACTGTCTCCCACTGTCTCCTACTGTCTCCTACTGTCTCCCTCTGTCTCCTGTCTCCCTCTGTCTCCTACTGTCTCCTACTGTCTCCTACTGTCTCCCACTGTCTCCTACTGTCTCCTACTGTCTCCTACTGTCTCCCACTGTCTCCTACTGTCCCCTACTGTCTCCCTCTGTCTCCTACTGTCTCCCTCTGTCTCCTACTGTCTCCCACTGTCTCCTACTGTCCCCTACTGTCTCCCTCTGTCTCCTACTGTCTCCCTCTGTCTCCTACTGTCTCCCTCTGTCTCCTACTGTCTCCCTCTGTCTCCTACTGTCTCCCACTGTCTCCTACTGTCCCCTACTGTCTCCCACTGTCTCCTACTGTCTCCCACTCTCTCCTACTGTCTCCCACTGTCTCCTACTCTCTCCCACTGTCTCCTACTGTCTCCCACTGTCTCCTACTGTCTCCAGCTGTCTCCTACTGTCTCCTACTGTCTCCTACTTTCTCCTACTGTCTCCTACTGTCTCCCTCTGTCTCCCTCTGTCTCCTACTGTCTCCCACTGTCTCCCACAGTCTGAGTTATATACTGTACAGAATGAGAAAAAATAACTGGAGTGAAATTCAGATAAATGTGGTAAATATCCTCTGTATGGAAAAAGTCAAGCCGCGGTTAGCTCGTTAGCATTGTGCTCGTCCAATCATATGTCTCTCTACTCACAATGCAAAGGTTACGGTGCGTAAAACCCAAAGTAAATCCCAAAGCCTTCTTCAGCTGAGCCGCTCCTGTTCTGTCCAAAGAAAAACAAAACAATAATTAAGATATCAGTAACTTTTTCGTCATAATGAAAAGTGATCCGACATTTGCTGCGCTGCCCCCGGAGTGTAGTCTGTAAAGGTCAGACCGCAACGACACCGAGGAGTCCAGGCGGCGCCCACGTCACATCAGACCAAAGCAACACGCTATGGTCCAATCCTGCGCTAAAAGGTTACGACGAATGAACTGTTTAACACCAAAGTCATTTACAGTGACGCTCACTAAAGGTTGCTTCACGCGACCACGGCGTTTTGTTCACGTGCGGAGAATGAGCTGCTTTGTGGACAATTACAAAAGCTCAATTAGCATTTACAAAGGTGGAGAGAGACAGAGGGCGGAGGCGCTTATTTCACTGATGTGATATTGACTCGAGCCTCAATAAGATTTAATGAAAACCCTGAAGGCCAATTAACATCTGTTCTTTTCTAAAGACGTTCGAACGAGAAAGAACTGAGGTTTAATCAATTCATTGATAATTCATGAAAGAAACATTTAGACTTGTCAATCTGGAGTGACTGTACTTGTACGGTTTAATGAACCATTTCCCAACAGAGTTCATTCAACTCAGAACCATTTACTTTGGAATGTTCTGGAAACTGCAGCGGGGCATGGTTTTACACTGGTCCACACCAGAGCAGAGAGGATTCATGGTTTTACACTGGTCCAGACCAGAGCAGAGAGGATTCATGGTTTTACACTGGTCCAGACCAGAGCAGAGAGGATTCATGGTTTTACACTGGTCCAGACCAGAGCAGAGAGGATTCATGGTTTTACACTGGTCCAGACCAGAGCAGAGAGGATTCATGGTTTTACACTGGTCCAGACCAGAGCAGAGAGGATTCATGGTTTTACACTGGTCCAGACCAGAGCAGAGAGGATTCATGGTTTTACACTGGTCCAGACCAGAGCAGAGAGGATTCATGGTTTTACACTGGTCCAGACCAGAGCAGAGAGGATTCATGGTCATGATTTAGTTTAGTTTAATGTGTATAAAACAGGGACAATGTACAAAACCATAAGTCTTTAAGAAGAAATGAACAAAGCTCAGGACATGGAACCCTCACTGCAGCGGCTCCAGTGGGAGGTTCAGAGGCACACACAGGTTTGAGTGTGTGCTGGGTAAATGTTGAGTTAGCCTGGTCGTACCACACCATAGTACAAATTTCATTTCATACTAAGGTCTGGATTTGCTCCATTGACTCCATTGGTGGTGGGAGGGGCTAACTCCTTTTGCAGATTGAAACCATTGGATCTGAGTTTACTGTGACGTATGTAGGGGCAGCACGGTGGCTGAGTGGATAGCACTCTCGCCTCTCAGCAAGAAGGTCCTGGGTTCGAATCCCGGTTGGACCAGGGCCTTTCTGAGTGGAGTTTGCATGTTCTCCCTGTGTCTGCGTAGGTTTCCTCCGGGTGCTCCGGTTTCCCCTACCACTAAAAATATGTACAATAGGTCTGGCATGTGCCTCCTGTACTGGCCCCGCTCCCAAAAATAACAATTTTAAACCGCTTTGAGACTCCGATGTGCAGTGAAAAGGCGGTATATAAATAAAGATTACTTACTACTACTACTACTGAGTGTGTTGTTAGCATTTAGCATTTAGCCTAGCCATCTCCTTTGCTGCTAACGGAGCCCGTGGGGAGTAGCGCCACAATCTTGACCAGCGATTACATTTGCTAAACATTCCTCTTGCTCCTGCTTCAATTTCTTCTACTAATTTCTTTGTGTATAAACCACTTCTTCTTCTACTATATCTCCGTGTATAAACCACTTCTTCTTCTACTATATCTCTGTGTATAAACCACTTCTTCTTCTACTATATCTCTGTGTATAAACCACTTCTTCTTCTACTATATCTCTGTGTATAAACCACTTCTTCTTCTACTATATCTCCGTGTATAAACCACTTCTTCTTCTACTATATCTCCGTGTATAAACCACTTCTTCTTCTACTATTTCTCCATGTATAAACCACTTCTTCTTCTACTATATCTCTGTGTATAAACCACTTCTTCTTCTACTATATCTCTGTGTATAAACCACTTCTTCTTCTACTATATCTCCGTGTATAAACCGCTTCTTCTTCTACTATATCTCTGTGTATAAACCACTTCTTCTTCTACTATATCTCTGTGTATAAACCACTTCTTCTTCTACTATATCTCTGTGTATAAACCACTTCTTCTTCTACTATATCTCCGTTTATAAACCACTTCTTCTTCTACTATATCTCCGTTTATAAACCACTTCTTCTTCTACTATATCTCCGTTTATAAACCACTTCTTCTTCTACTATATCTCCGTGTATAAACCCGGCAGACTGCAGCGCCAGGATACGTCACGTCCTGTCCTACGTTTGTTATCCACTGTCCTGACGTCAAATGAAACCCAAGAATACACGTTGAACTTGAAAAGTCCAGAAAAATAATTTTAGGATTTGAAGTTTGTACAGATTCAGGCCGAATCAAACCCTACGGAGTTCAAATCAAACACATGCCGAGCCGAGCCGAGCCGTCCTCTTTGATTCCACTTCCTGCTGACTTTGCTAGTTTCCCTGATGTGAAGCCTGCATGACCTATGGCCGTGTCCACATCATTTGCCACCTCTGGGTCCGGTTTATTTGGACCTTTGGGACTTCAAACGGAGCTGGTCGTGAAGGGACGCTCTCGAGGAGATTTTGGTGACTTGGTTTTGATGAGTCCGCTCCTGGACCTTTCTGCATATGCCAGTCCGTCAGCATTACACGTCTGCCGTTCATTTGCCCGGTGTCTTATCTCGCACATGAGAGGCCCAGACACCCCCCCCCCCCTCCCCCCCCTGACCCCCCACCCCCCCCTCCTTAAAGAGCCAGGTGATTATTGTCAGCGCTTTCCAGGAAATCACACTATGGGAAATAGAATGGCATTTAGTTTATTGGCTGTAAAGATAAGTGTCGGTTCTGAATGGAGATGAAAAGGAAAAGGCAGAGACGGCTAAAGACACCGCTTTACTCCAGATTTTATGTTTTCTACATAAAAACAAATAAATGGCTTTTAGGTTCTTCTAATAAGACAATTAAAGCAAAACAAAGCTAGTACTGCTTAAATACCTGACATGTTTCGGCGGTACCGCCGAAACATGTCACTTAGAGACTCCTGCTGGGACTCTGAGGAGCACAGGGACTGGACTCCTGCTGAGACTCTGAGGAGCACAGGGACTGGCCTCCTGCTGGGACTCTGAGGAGCACAGGGACTGGCCTCCTGCTGGGACTCTGAGGAGCACAGGGACTGGCCTCCTGCTGGGACTCTGAGGAGCACAGGGACTGGCCTCCTGCTGGGACTCTGAGGAGCACAGGGACTGGACTCCTGCTGGGACTCTGAGGAGCACAGGGACTGGACTCCTGCTGGGACTCTGAGGAGCACAGGGACTGGCCTCCTGCTGGGACTCTGAGGAGCACAGGGACTGGCCTCCTGCTGGGACTCTGAGGAGCACAGGGACTGGACTCCTGCTGGGACTCTGAGGAGCACAGGGACTGGACTCCTGCTGGGACTCTGAGGAGCACAGGGACTGGACTCCTGCTGGGACTCTGAGGAGCACAGGGACTGGACTCCTGCTGGGACTCTGAGGAGCACAGGGACTGGACTCCTGCTGGGACTCTGAGGAGCACAGGGACTGGACTCCTGCTGGACTCTGAGGAGCACAGGGACTGGACTCCTGCTGGACTCTGAGGAGCACAGGGACTGGACTCCTGCTGGGACTCTGAGGAGCACAGGGACTGGCCTCCTGCTGGGACTCTGAGGAGCACAGGGACTGGACTCCTGCTGGGACTCTGAGGAGCACAGGGACTGGACTCCTGCTGGGACTCTGAGGAGCACAGGGACTGGCCTCCTGCTGGGACTCTGAGGAGCACAGGGACTGGACTCCTGCTGGGACTCTGAGGAGCACAGGGACTGGCCTCCTGCTGGGACTCTGAGGAGCACAGGGACTGGACTCCTGCTGGGACTCTGAGGAGCACAGGGACTGGCCTCCTGCTGGGACTCTGAGGAGCACAGGGACTGGACTCCTGCTGGGACTCTGAGGAGCACAGGGACTGGACTCCTGCTGGGACTCTGAGGAGCACAGGGACTGGACTCCTGCTGGGACTCTGAGGAGCACAGGGACTGGACTCCTGCTGGGAGGAGCACAGGGACTGGACTCCTGCTGGGACTCTGAGGAGCACAGGGACTGGACTCCTGCTGGGACTCTGAGGAGCACAGGGACTGGACTCCTGCTGGGACTCTGAGGAGCACAGGGACTGGACTCCTGCTGGGACTTTGAGGAGCACAGGGACTGGACTCCTGCTGGGACTCTGAGGAGCACAGGGACTGGACTCCTGCTGGGACTCTGAGGAGCACAGGGACTGGACTCCTGCTGGGACTCTGAGGAGCACAGGGACTGGACTCCTGTTAGTGCCCAGAGTCAGAACTAAACATGGGGAGGCTGCTTTTCAGATTCATGCTGCTAAAATCTGGAACAATCTTCCTGAAGATGTGAGACAGGCCTCCTCTCTGACAATGTTTAAAACCAGGTTAAAGACAGTTATGTTTAGCTGTGCTACAACTGAGGGATTTTATATTTGTATCTTTCTTTTTAATGTTCTGTGATTATTTATGATTGTAATGCTTTCTTATTTTGTTCAGCACTTTGAGTTGCCTTGTGTATGAATTGTGCTATATAAATAAACTTGCCTTGCCATGATCCTGGACACTTTCATTCATGGACATTGGTCTCTCCTTATTCTATATATG